TGTATAGGTGTAATGCGAAAATGCACGTCCACACGGATAAGTTATGGAAAACAGGAGAAACACGCGATAGCCGTCTTCGCTGTGGAAGGCTGCGCATCCTTCATTTAAGAAAATAAATCAGGCAGCGACACTATATAAAACCCTTGCTGAAGCGAAGAATCCGCTACCAACAATTTGTACATCGGAATCCGATGATGAACACTTCTGTGACACAGTTATCAATCTTCTTGTTTTCAACCAACGGTTTATGTTAATGTTGTATGTACAATTGGTAAAGTGGAAATAAAACTAAATATGAGACTCTGAAACATACCACTTCACAAAGTTGAACATTGAAGGAAGTAAAAAATAAAGTGGACAGAACATCTGCTTCTTGGTAACGTTGAAACGGTAGTTTCTCCTCAATTCATCAAAAACCGAAATATCCACGCTTTCCTTCCGGGCTTCTCTGGGTGGGATCACACCAGTAACCCTCTCTTTCTGTTTGGGCGATTTCGGAGGACAGCGACTTTGAAATCATTGCAACAAGACGTCATATCTCTTGTTTTCCTTTTCGCCTTCATCGGGTGGACAAAGTATGAGTTTTGTAAGCTTGCCTGGACAGCTTGCCTTGCGAGTCTCTACTCACCGCATCACAGGAGATTACCTCAATACCTTTCTGGCATTTGACAGCTACGTTTAATGACATTTTAAGTCTCCCTTGAACCCATAATTCTTCTTGGAAGGATTTCGCTTTACCTTGGCCAATCACAAAGCCAATGTAGACCATCAGATGTGGTTTAAGATATTTTCACTGCAAGTTTATCATCGAGCTATCAAATGGAATGCTCACATCCAAAACTTTTAACGGAACTATCATATTTCGGGCAATTCCGCGGACTCCGTGTAAGTATCCTACTGACCACACTTTAAGAAACACTGCTGTACACAGTCGATGGCGACTTACTGTCTATTGTGACCAGCCAGAGTCAGTTGTTCTCGTGATGAGAATGTTGCTCGTGATGAGAAAACTGCTATCCATGCGTCTGCACGCCCGTCCAGGAATTGACGACATCCGCCCAAGGAGGCTTGCTGTGGCGGCTACTATTTTGGCTGAACCTTTGGCCCGGCTGTTCCAGCACTGTCTTGACGAGAGGCACGTTCATATAACGTGGAAACAAGCGATAATAACCCCTTTACAAAGGGTGTAGCCGTTTCGACTCAACTAATTATCGACCAGTGACCCTACTGCCGTTTCTTTCAAAAGTTATGGAGGCTATCATTGTCGACGCATTCATGTCTCAGCTGGACGGCTTTGGTCACAGTGCTCAGCAGCAACACCGCTTCCGCCAGAATCGGTCGTGCACAACAATCTATTGTTAGTACGAGACAGCTGGACCGAAACTGTGGAGGCTGGTGCAGGAGTTGATGTGGTTTACCTTGATTTCTCTGAGGCATTCGTCTAAACTTCAAGTATGTGGCATTGAGACTCTCTCCTCGGGTGGATCTGCAATTTTCTCTCACACAGGCGTCTGCAGGTGAGAGTACCTGAATCCATGTCTGATCCAATTTACGTTGAATGCGGAGTGTCACAGGGTTAGGTATTGGAGCCCCGTCGATGACGTCAAAGTTTGGTGAGGGATCAAAGCACCAGAAGACCGTATCCAGCTTCAAATCGACCTTGACAAAATTTATAGATGGTCGGTCCAAAGGTGCCTTTTCTTCAATGTGGCTAAATGTCGAGTGCTCCATTTAAGACACCGAATGGTTCACACATATAAGCTGGGGGACCAGGATCTGCAACACTGTTCTTTCGAAAAGAATCTCGGTGTGTTGATCCAAGAAAACCTCGGCTGCTCGGAGCAGTCCGAAAAGGCATCGAAGAAGAGGAGAGCTTTCAGGCAATTCGAACCGTCGATTTTCCGCTTATATACGCCCACCTGTTGTATTTGCAATTCAAGCATGCACTTATGATTAAAGCGGGATCTCACAGTCTTGGAGCTGCCACAAGGTTGGGCGACCAAAACTGTCAAGAGGCTGCGCCACTTGTCAAACGAACGGCGCCTCAGAGTGCTTGGCATTTTCAGTGGACCTTACCGCCATTTAGGTGGTGACCTAAGTATGCTTTACCAAATATTAAACAACACTAATCACCCCTGCCATCAATTATTGAAGCTGATTCACAACAGCCAACTGTGAGGTTATCATCTTAAATTGGCAGGACAATACAGTTGGTTGGAGTGTCGAGGAAACTGCTTCTCGCTGCGTGTTTGCCACACGTGGAATACCCTCTCAGAAGCTGTTATTTCAGCCCCCAAGTTAGCCGTGTTCTAAGCACTTGTCAACATTGCACTGACTACACTACACCATATCACTTAATCCAAACAATCCATACAAACAGCAGGAAAACAAAAGCAAACCAACCCACCTTCATTTTGTCCGGAAACCACAGTGGATAACCTTGGATAGTGCATAAAACGGACGGGAGCGCTGTAATCGACAAGTTCGCAAATTGTAGTTGTTCCCTATTTCCTATTACCATTTTTGGCTTAATTTCGCTCACCCCTAACCGATCATCCGGCCAGACTTATCAAGCTTCGGCTTCTTTTATCCGCAATATACCATTGATCATTGCATTCTTTTGAACCAAACTGCTGCTTTGGTCGGTTTACTTGAGATGCCGAGTATGGTTTACATCAATTGTTGTTACCTATGTGGCCTCGACACTCCTACTTGAAACGGACGAAACGCTTTCCCTGATAATACCCAATATGCATAGTCATTATTTGCATTCGGATCGACACGACCTAAGATATCTAATATACCAAATATATGCGAGAGGGTGAAGGCGAAAAGCGAATGTACTGAAATTCAGAGAAGAAAGACTGGTGTTTGGAAAGGGCTCTTTCGTTGACTCCGCCAAAATTGCACATGACCTATGCACCTTTGTATTTGCCCTTCAGTAGGTTGACACTGCAAGGCATAAACTGCAGGTGACTATAAGTACAACGAATACATTACCACATCAAAGCAGTTTCCTGAGGAAAGGTCAGCTGAGTTCAGTGGGCTTTGAGACGGCAATACCGGGGCGTCTATGGGGGCAGTTCGAGTGGATACATTGACAAACCTGCAATTTCGATGAGGATAACTCAGCTGTAATGTGCGAAGTTTGGGTTGCCGTATGACGACAGTATTGTTGAGTTTGCTAGACAGGCGAGCTCTGTGCACTTGTCACCAAAATACGAGACCTCCGTAACAGTTGCGTTGATTTCAAATTGCTAAGCAAAATCAGTTCCCCTTTGTTCGTTCTTCCCCTACTAGCGATAGCGTCTACGTGCCTTGCAACTCCAGTTTTGTTTGGTGAACTATTGACCTGGTATAAACTTATGGGTCATTAATTCTTAGGTAAAGTGGACAATTTTCATTTAATTGCGAGAAAAGTCATACCTTCGGTTTATTTGCGTGTAGTTTATTCCAAATCTTCCCACCGGTTAAAAGAAAAATGTTCTTTAGTTGGATTTAAATATCATCCGTGGATATAGATTTGATCAGTAATTTCTTAATAAGCACAGTGCTTCGCAACACTCTCCAGACGACATGTGACCTGCGCCAATCGCTTCTGAAACTGCATGTCAAAGAAATTTGGTTACCTGGACGATGTCCACGTTCACAAAGCAGGTGGGCTGCACTTGTATTTTAACACCCACATACCCTATATGCGGGGGAAATCCGAACGAACACAGCGGGAATCAAAAAGGCAAGGATACAAAGTTTTTAAACTTTCCACTCTGCAACCTATTGAGAACTACTTAAAAGGAGGTGAATCTACCCTGTTATTTACCCCATGGGGCATGAAAATTTCTGGCAATTCAAGAATTCACATACATTACTAGGATACACGCGTATTTGTGTTCGTCTACCTCTTGTGGTCACGGTACCTGCTTGTAGCATGAATACGAGCATACGTGAGAATGTTCCGCGATAAGCAAGATACTTTCCTAATCAAGAAACGATCTTCCGTATCCAGAAGCAGTATTAGCGTTTGCACATGTCTCAGCATTCTATAAGGATTTTTGAACTTGTCAGTGCGTCCAATTTCAGTAAGGATTCGAATCGGTGAGTGATTTTCCTGACTCGCACACTACTGGCGCAGAGGCAGGCTGAATGATTCAATAACCAAAGTTTTCCGTAAAACGATGTCTAGGTACAGATACACTGAAAATTGCACTGCATGAAATTTGTTGGTTCGTCTGCACATGGCTGGAAAACTTTGAAGTGGTTTAATGCGAATATTGCATACCAGTGATTCGCTATTGTGGTGCTGTTTTACGTCGGGTCACATACACATTGGATTCGCTGGTCCACTGTGTTTGAACATAGGCCAAATACATCGTAGGTTACAAATGCGTTCCAGCAGTCTAGCGTTATCGTGTTCTGATATTTTCTGGGATCAAGTTCGTGCAGATGGGGCGAGAACGACAGGATTATCCCTCGAGTGTTCATTTGTGAGCGGAAATGATAACTTGTTGTAAGGTATTGATGAACCTAATGCCAAAAAGCTGATCTCTACCCTTGTCAAAAAATTGCTGCCAATGTCTCCTGCATTGTCATTCCATGATGCGCTAGTTACATAAAATAAGCAGCAGCTAAGATGAGGAATGGAAGATAAAGAATAGGGAAGGTTATTCAAATACAGGTTAACCCGGATGCGCGAAAGAATGTACTGAAAAGAAACTCGAAGTGTGCTGGTGGATATGATCAATCGACGTGGTGTTTCGCGATATCCGCAACAGCTTTCATGCAGGTTATTTGCTTGGAGTCGTTACAGTCTTTATTGTGATTCCGAAAGAGGTCATGGCCAGTGATCCAGAGGTATGTGATCTGGAGTAAGTAGCAAATAACCTACCTTATTCACCGTCTTGCGTGGAACTATCAGATGAAGTCGAGATAAAGTAAGAGGAACAATGCGTTATTAAAGTAGTATATAAATGAAGGAGATCAATACCAGTTCTTTTCTTTCCATGCCTCAAGCGGTGGAGAAACCGGTCATAACTCTCCGCAACGGCGCGTTGAAAGCGCCTAAAATGAAAAAGCCAGACGAGGTGAAGATATGTACGACAACCAACACACGATGTGTTCGCAAATCCGCTTCATCGGAAGCCGTCCAGCCCACGTACGCTGATGTTCATCCCTACTGCGGGAAAGTGTGCAAGAATTTGGGCAGCTGGATTTTTGATGATGATAGGGAATTTGTTCACAGCGACTCAAAAACTTCAGGGGTTCTGAAGGAGTTTGCCTTCTGCCAAGTTCCACCACCTATGGCATGACACATAGTGCTTGGTTACAATTTGATCTTAATGCGTTCGTGGCTACAATACGACGATGGATAATGACAAGGCCTTGAGCTAAGATGAACTTCATTTTCCATGCTTCCATAGCTGTCGATTGTTATAGGGTCAACTCAAACTTCAGTGATCTCAATCTTTAAGATGGTCAGGTCGAAGGAAAGTGAGCTTGGCCATCATTGGTGAGAAGAGACCGCATCCCTATAGTGGAAATATGAAAGAGGTCGTCACTGCTGTTGACAGTTGTAGTGGTGATGGTGTTGTAGTGGTGATGGAAGGTTGCACCGAAGAACATCACCAGTAAATGATTTGAAACTTTATTTCGTCTTCGTCTAACAGAACTGATTGTATACGGCTGATAAAATAAGACTTGAACCCTTGTATCTGCTCATAGATGAGGCCAACAGATGTGGGCCTAATGAGTAGACTAGAACAACGGACCCGATCGAAAGCTTCCCTCGTATGGACAAACTGTAACCCGGGCCTAGTCTATCTATTCTTATGGTCAGTAGAATTCCACCTGTTAATATATAGGGCTTTTGATTTTTAAGTAGGCCCTTGTTAAACTAAGTCAATGAATTTTTTCCTTGACAGAACCTTATTTAGACACTGGTAAAGGTGGGATTCTTCCAACCCCGCATTCCATCAGATCTCTTGTAGCGAAAACGACACGACAGGGGGGTAGACGTTTATTACACACCGAAAATGGGCACATCCGAGTCTCACGCGCGCCATCGAATATCGACTAGATTTCCGTCCCACAACGCAACACAGGTACGGATGTTTGAGACGAGCCAGTCCTTTCGCCTCGGGAGCTCTGACTTGGAAGATCCGCCTTCCTGTTTTCGCCTCGATCTCCGCTTCTCTGCACCCGATTTGGATCGGCCAGGAGTCGTTCGAGAGCTCTCGACTTGCTTGTTCTGGGCTGTGTCAATCGGCTCGGCCTCGGTTCGGTGGGCTGCGCTAGCGGAGTATTTGTCTGATTTATCGCGCTGTTCACATATTCCCGCTCCGTAGTTCCGGGCCCAGGCTCGTCGCTAGCCGTCTTTCGCGATCCGCTCTCAGCTAGCTCCGAAGAGCTCGCCAGAGCCATTCTTGGAAGCGGCCCCTCTACACCCGCCCCTCCTCCAGGACCTTTCTTCCTCTCGTACCATGGTCGCAAGAGAGCAGCATTCACCCAACGTTTCATTCCTCCGCAGTCGATTAAGAAGTTGCCCGCTTTCTGGTCGATAATGGTGTAGGGGCCTTTCCAGCGTTCTCTGAACTTGCTTGCGCCCGGCCCGTCATGATCCGGCCGATCGTTGTTCCGTAACTTGACCCGTTCTCCAACCCTGAATGGCCTCCACTTTTGAGCCTCATGCCTGGCGTCTTAATTTCGCTTATTCCGCGCTTGTCGGGCTTTGGTTTCGCTTCTAGCTTTCCATCGCAGTCGCTCTTGATGCTCAGCTGGATGTTTCTACTCACCCTCGTTCGGTAGGCAAGTATCGAGCGCAATCCGTGGTTCTCTGCCGAACAGTAATTCGAATGGCGCGACCTTGGTGGTTGATTGCATGCTGGTCCGATATGCGATCAGAACCTGAGGCAAAGCATCTTCCCATGCCAACTTCGTGCAGTTTATCCACGTCTTCAATGTCCGGTTGAACCGCTCGGTCATCCCGTTGGTTTGTGGGTGGTACGGTGAAGTTCGCCGTCTCTGGATGCCCCACTTGTCCAACACTGACTTAAACGCTCTTGACTCGAAGCAGGGCCCTTGGTCCGTGATGATACACTGTGGGATCCCATACCTTGCAGGCACATTGAATTCGAATACTTGCGACACTGTCTCGCCTGTTTGGTCCTTGATTGGTATGGCTTCCACCCATCGAGTGAAGTGGTCAATCATCACTAGAATGTATCTGTTTCCTGTTCGACTCACTGGTAAGGGCCCAAAGACGTCCAGTCCCCAACACTGAAGTGGCTCACCAACCTCCATCGATCGCATTGGCGGTCTCGGGGACTCCATCTCCCTACTCGTTTGGCAGTTTGGGCACTCCCGAAGGTATGCCGCGACGTCCTTCCTCATGGTTGGCCAAAACACTCGCCTCCGCAGCAATGTAAAGACCCGCTCGAAGCCCATATGGGCGCCATCATGAGTTATGCGCATCACACGTTCTCGCTGATTTGGTGGAACGAAAGGCACTTTCCGTCCGTCTATCGCCACCACCACGTTATCGTTTTCGACCTTCAACCTGTCCCAGATCTTGAGGAGTTCCTCCACCTCCTCCGATGCAGCCTCCGGTTTGGTGCCAGCCCGTAAGTGAGAGCACAACACATTCACGAATTCATCTGTCCTTTGATCTCCCAGCAGGTTCCTCTCCCCCATCGCGATTGCACGCACCGGTATGGCATTGTCTGGCATGATGTCGTCCAAACACGGGCGTGACAACATATCTGGCAATACATTTTGCGTTCCATCTACGTGCTCAATGGTGAAGTTGAATTCCAGCAATCGGTAGGCCCATCGCGCAAGCCGTCCCAGCGGGTCTTTCGCCGTCATCAACCACGAGAGCGGTTTGTGGTCAGTGACGACCCGGAATTCATTCCCCAGTAAGTAATTTCTCCACTTCTCTAACGCCCACACGATGGCCAAGCATTCTTTCTCCGTTGTTGAATACTTCTGTTCCGCCCCCGTCAGCACTCTGCTCGCGTACTCCACCACCCCAGCCGGTTGAGACAAAACCGCACCGATGGCCACGTTGCTTGCGTCGACAGCCACCGTGAACCTCTCACCAGGATTGGGTAGCCGTAGACATGTCGGGGCTTCTGCGATGCCTGCCTTTAGATGGTCAAAGGCCTGATCCGCTTCAGCTGTCCACACGAAGGGCACGTCCTTGCGAAGCAGCTTTAACAACGGGCTGATCTTCTCTGCGAACTGGGGCACAAACTTTGAATCATATGCCACCACTCCCAAGAACGAACGGAGCTGACGCTTGGATTTTGGTTTTGCGAAGCACTTGATCGTCTCGCGTTTCTCCGGAAGTGGATGGACTTGACCATTGCCCACGATGTGACCCAAGCATACAATTGACTTTTGGGCAATCTGCGACTTTTTACGACTGAGTTTCAGGCCAGCTTCGTACAGTCTCTGCAGTACTGCTCCAAGTCTGGTCACATGTTCCTGTTCCGTCTCAGAGAAGACGATGATGTCATCACCATACACCACCACGCCTTGCAGGTTCGCCAGGACCATCAGCAACAAACGCCTGAATGTAGCTGGGGCGTTGCACAATCCAAATGGCATTCTCAAAAACTCGTACTGCTGGCCATTGACACTGAAAGCCGTCTTGTGGCGATCTTCTTCTGCGATCGGCAGTTGCCAATATCCCGAGCGGAGATCAATCAGAGATATCTGCTTGGCACTGCGAAGGCTTGAGAAAATTTCTTCCATCTGAGGCATCGGGAATGCATCCTTCACCGTCACCCTGTTTAGTTCTCTGAAATCGATGCAAAATCGATAGGTTCCGTCGGCCTTCTTCATCAATAGCACGGGTGATGAATACGGGCTGTGCGTTCGCCTGATGATTCCTTTCGATTCCATCTCGGTCACCTGCTTCTGTACCTCAACCAAGGTGTTCTGTGGAATTCGTCTGAAGATTGGCTTGCATTGTCCTCCTGGGATCAACGGTATTCGGTGTTCAACCCAATTGCAAAATCCGTAATCATCTTCCGCGTCTTGAATAAGTGGGCATACCTGCTCAGTACGTTGCGTATTGCACGGTTCTGACACTCAGGCACGGCTTTGAGGGCACCAACCCGGTCGGTTCTCCCCTTGTTTATCTCGATCGTCTCGTTAGCCACGATCACCACATCGTTTTTCAGGTCAATTGTGACACCGAGCCGTTTCAGGATGTCGGTTCCGATGATGGTTTCGGTCGTCTCCTCCACGATGAACATGTCATGGCTGATGAGCGTTTCTCCTATCCTGATTCGTAACCGCTGCGTGCCCGTCACTTTCAAAGAATGCCCGCCGACCGTCTGCATCGTGATTGAAGATGGGTTTACTGGAACCCCATTGAACCTCTTCGTAATTGACACTGCCGCTCCTGTGTCTACTATGGCTCGGACAGACACACCTTCTATAGTTACCTGGAGGACTGGTACTCGCCACCGACTCGGCATGGATAGAGAGAAACAATGGGGCACATTGACGTTGGTGCAGAATCTCGCCACATGACCATTCTGGTTGCATCGGAAACAGCGGCGACCGTTCCGGATTACCCGTACATTGCGTTGTGAAGTGGTGCTTGAAGACTCTATCGACAACAGCTGCTCCACCATTTCGGATAGGCGATTTACTTTCTGTTCCAACTCAGCATGCTGGATGCTTCTCACTGTCACTCGTTCCGACAAATTCTGGGCGACCGTCACCAGATCCAACGCTTTGCTGTCTCCCACCATCGACGCCAATTTCACCTGATCACGGAGTGGATCGGGCAGACTTCGGATAAACTGCTGTTTCAGTAGGCGCTCTCTTGCGTTGCCCTCTAACTCGGGGAGCCCAATCGTTAGATGTCTGTCCAGCTGCTGGAAAAACACCATCAAATCCTCCTGTTCGTCCCATCTGGCTGCGTGAAATCGTTGCAGTGCTCGTTCTCTCTCCAGATCCTTCCCAAATTCTGCACACAAGGCAGCCCTCATCTCAGCGAACGAACAACCGGGTTTGGCCTTTCGAGTGAGCAGATACACCGCCTTGGCTCGTCCACTCAACCGTGTGCCCAAAGCAATTAGCAAATTTGCATCCCCCTCACACCCGTGCAAGCCGCAATTCCGTCGAACTCATCGAGCCACGCCTCCACGTCACCGGCCGCAAATTGCTCTAACCGGGTCAACTCCATCGCGATTGGTCACGGCACCAGTGTAGCGAAAACGACACGACAGGGGGGTAGACGTTTATTGCACACCGAAAATGGGCACATGAGGGTCTCGCGCGCGCCATCGAATAT